GATTAATACACATTGGGTAAGAAACATAAATTATGCAGGGAAGACTCCAAAAATGGTATTGCTCCTGGCACTGTATCTACATGGAATGTATACATAGCATGGAAGAAAATATATGTGAGAATAAGCTGAACCTGAGCATGTAAACAAGGGTTGCTTCCACACAAAGATAAAACATATTTGAAAAGTCATCTTTGGAATCTGGAAAGTAGCAGCTGGATATGGCCCAGAACAACAGCATCATCCTATTTTGTTTACATACAGTCTGTCTGCCATTTAATGATGATTAGAGTAATCTCCTTTCTTATTGGAATCCTCGACCCTCAACCCATTGACTAACATTTATTTATTTAATTACACACCGCTACTGTTGTAAATGCTCTAAACAGATTCTAGAACAGTGAACAATTAGAAAATAAAAAAGTAAAAGAATTCAATGCTATCTTAAAAACAGAATATCGAAAAAAACCCTTGACTGGTCAAGCAAGGCAAGCATCTTAGAATACAGATGTTTTCAGGAGGTGCCAAAGCCTGCGCACTGCTACCAAAGGCAGGGAGTTGCCAAGAATTTACAGAGAATGCCCCAAAGGGAACACTGATAGTTTCACAGTCTGCTCACATGTCTTCCTTTACAGAGGATCTTCTGTTTGAGGACAACTTCTATTTGAGGGGCTGTTTAAAATGAAGAACCGTAAGACATGTTGTCCATCAACAGCTTGTACTCAGATGACAAATTGAACATACAGACATGCAAGTCTCCTAGTCATGCCCTTCCATGCTGCAGTAATGTGTCCTGTATTTCTATTTGAACTTTAATTACTATTATTATTTTTTTCATTTTACCTAGGCATAAATGAATTCTCTTAACTTATCAGCTGCAAAACCCCAGCTGCAATTATAAAAAAAGAAGACCCATTTAGCCCAGAAAGGGGCAGTCCCATTATTATTATTATTATTATTGTTATTATTATTATTATTATTATTATTATTATAACATTTCTATGCCGCCCCTTGCCGAAACCTTGGGGCGGCTTACAACACAATAAAATACATTGAAATACAATAGAACATAATAAATGACCATTAAATACAAAAATACAAAAAATACACTGAGTTACAAATATAAAATTAAAATTATCAGTATAAAATAAGTAAATAAAAATATAGGAGGAGAAAGAGAAGGAAGAAGTTGCCCTGGCCAGATCATATGTTTTCTACTTGGTTCCAAAAGGGAGAGTATGAGGAGTCAGGTCTCTCCAATTAAAGCTAATCTTTCCTCTACTGTTAAAGAAGGCAGTGTCCAGTACGTTGAATCATCTTCAGTATCTCTACAGGAGGTATGCAGACCATACCAGAAAAACTTGAGACCATTGCAGTACTGAGGAAGGAAACACATGAGAATTGTAACCCAGGGTTACTGGGTTTAAGCTGGGCTTCAACAGAGAAAGTGATCTGTTCCCTTTAACTATAACATTAGCAAGGTCTGCATATAACAATTCTTGTCTGAACACTCGATTATGTCTCTAATGTGGAACCAGGTATAAGTGAACTACTGGTAGGAAAATTAAGTGGACACCAGCAGTTAATTTAGCTGTATCTCATTTTCTTTATAAGGATGATTTAATGGCAATCCATGCTGTGATTTTCTCTACCACTTCTGTGACCAAGAAACCATTTAACAGTCCAGCTGATAGATTGCAAGACCAATTGAGAATAGATGGAGAATAACAGACCGAGAAGAATTTAGTCATCTTTTAGGTGATTTGATAGACAGTGTAAACAGACTAAAAGACAGCTGGTGAGACTTTACTGAAAATACAGTTGTTCCAATTCAGGCCTTTTGTCTAATGAAAAGGTTTCCCTTAGACGAAAGTATACATTTCTGGTAAGTAGAAAAAACACAACAAGCTGAAAAACAAGCTTGACAAACTTTTAAAGATAGGGATCGCTCCCTTTTCTGGTGAACAATATCAGGTGTACTAGGAAATCTGTACAGTCCCTGTATGTACTATTGGACCAGATGAATGGATGCAATATTATCACTTATTATATCCGGATCATTATGGGGATACCATCCAAATAGCAGAAACTTTAGGAACTGTACCTAGGTGGCCACCAGTATTATTAACTGAGGTTAAGAACTTTATTTCTCAACTAAAAAGTAATAAAACATCAAATATTGATTTTTTTACTACCAGAAACTTTGAAATTTAATATTGACTGGTAGGTTCCTCTTTGGTGGTATTATTTGTATTTACTGATTCAACAGGGAAACTGCCTGAACCCTGGGGCACAGAAATAGTAGTTTCCATATTTTAAAGAGGTTTGCCTTATTAGTTTATGTGTTACTATTAAATTATGTGAGGCATCATTATAACAAGTTAATTGATTGGATAACTGATGAATTTATTCTAGCTTAAGATCCTGTGGGGTTCAGACAATTGAGATCCACAGTACTTTATTGCTTTGTCCTAGCCCATTTAATCAATAAATAAGCTAGGAAGTTAGTTGGTGTGTTATATACAGCTTTCATTGATCTGAAGGCAATGTCTCAATTTCCTGTGCAAGATAAATTAATTCTTAACCATAGAAAAAAATACTCATTTTTATTATGCTTTTATATAATACTAGCTAACTGAAGGTTTGATGTTCTACAGATGGACAACTTACAGAGCCTGTGCTAATCACAAAGGGAGTAAAATAAGAGTGTATTCTGGCTCCTGTATTGCTAATATTGTATCAATATAAATGATATGGTTAAGAATTTAAGATCTCCAGTGTTTCATGTCTCTAAACTGCCTTCAAAACCTGTCTCCATCCTTTGTGTGTAGATGATGCTGTTCTCTCTCAAACTAACGTGGGCTTTAGAAGATTACTGAAGGTATTTTCTGAGTATCGTCATGAAGAATTCAGCTAGCTGTGAATTGCAATTGCATAAAGTAACGGTATCCTATAGACAACATAGGGTCCACAAGTGGTTTATTGATAAACGGCTAATTGAGCAAGTCAAAGTCTTTAAATATCTTGGATTTTTTCAGTCAACAGGATCCTGGATAGCCCATCAGAAATATGTGGTGGGAAAAGTATCTCAAAGTTCTAAAATTCTGACATGCTTTTTTTCTGTACCAAAGGGGAGAATTACATACCCTTAACACTTGAAGTTTGTAGATCTAAAACTTTAGTACAGTTATGGGGTGATTCCTACTCCAGAGATGTGGAAGCTGTTCAGTCTAAGTTTTTAAGACTTTTATTTGTTCTATATTGCATTCCAAATGTTTTGTTGTGCCTGGAAGCTAATCTTCCTTCCATCAATTTACAGGCCTGGTGTACGATGCATAATTATTGGCTTTGGCTGTACTAACTCCCTCTGGATTACTTTCTTTGATTGTGCAGAAGTTTCATGAGAGTGCTTCAATGAAGTTATCACCACAAAACTTCGTTTTCTGGCTTATCACTGCAGCATTGTTAGGATTCACCGAAGCAAAAGGCTTAATCAGCATTTATATTATATTGAATAATAGAATAATTTGGCTACTGCAAGAAACTCCTTCTTATGGTATGGCCATTTTCCATCCAGATATTTTGACAGATTGGCACCTTTCTTGGAACACTTAATAGTTTAATAGTTTCCAAAAGTCAATCATGCTTACCATTTGAATATTTGTGCTGTTCAAAGCCATTCACATACATCACTATGCCTTGAAACAATTCTGTAAGGATTTGGCCTTTGACTGTATCTTAAGGACATCGGAAGAACTTTGTTAGATCAGACTGATGAACTCTCCAGTCCAGGTTTACACCATGACCAGTTGCATGTCAATTCGAGGCCCATGAACAGGACATAAAGGCAACTGCCTTCTCTTGCTTCTCATCTCCCCAACATTTAGCCTGAACTTTCAACTCTAGGTAAAACATTTTACAGTCTTAATGACAAGTTATATTAGAGATTGTTGCTTCTGATCCTGAGGACTGAATATAGCCCTCAAAACTAGTAGCAACCCGATAGCTTCAGGGTACATGGTTGGCTGGAACATCCTGGGAGTTGTAGGGCTTTTTCTGCCTAAGTAGGCAAAGGATTGTGCTCTTATCATCCATACTTTTGCTAAGCCCATTCTAAAACAATCCATTTTGGGATCCTAATGGCACTTAATTCCTTTGTTTAACAAGGCATTGCCAGTTTCCGCATTGTATTCCTCAACCTGAAAGAGAGGACCTATAGGACTGCCTGGTGGATTCATATCTTAAGGCAACATTTGAACTGAGTGGTTTTCGAACTTGTGCTCTTATTTATTTATTTGCTACGTTTGTGCTTTCGTTATATGCCATCAAGTCACTTTGACTTACAGTGAGCTCCAAATGGATGCTCTCCAAAATGCCCTTTCCTTTGCAGCCGTACTCTTACATTTTTAAACCTATTAATAATTTAAAACAAAAATACTGTATAAAATAGAGTATAGAATTTGAATTCTTTACTTCAGTGTAAAATAAAGTTAACACTGCAGTGTAAAATAAAAGTGATAACAAAAGTAAAACTTAGCAGCAGTACAAAGATATTAAAATATGATACAGAATTTAAGAGACTGAAACTAAACTAATCCTGAGAGAATTCCTCAGAAATTAACTAATGCAGTGTACTTCTAGCTCCAAATTCAGATGCCTGATTATAAAGAAGAAAAGCCCTATTAGTTCTATAACCCCACATGTGATCAGGCATATATTGCTAATTAGTGTGCTTTTTCTCAGGCAACTGATATTCTATCACTACTTGTCATGCAATGCTGCAAAACATTTTGCTTAGAACTGAACATTCAGGCTAAATTTGACTACCATTCAGGCTAAATTTGACTACCATAATTTGACAGTACGGGGCAAGTACAAACTGAATGTCTGTGTTTGTAACAGCTGCAGATACTGGTTCACTGGTTTCCTGTAAGCATGCACTTCCTTTCAGTAACATGAAAAAGGAAGTATTTAAAGTATTACCTACTACATGAAGAGAAGAATCCTTCTGTCGCTTCTGACTATAGGGACAGAATTTCTTGCAGAGAAAAAACAATGTGGAGATTTTGTGGTGGGTTTTATTTTATTTAAAATCTTTTCCCAGATGTGAAGATGGCAATACGAAGTCTGTTTCTTCTACATTATTTCTTCATCCTAATAGGCTTCATCAGTGGTAAGTGAACTTTCTTGCAGCAGATATTCCTATTATGTTGTTCAAGTTCTTGTATGACTGAGCAGACTGTTAAAACCAAAGGCATTGTGGCTGTTATCGCTCTTTCAAGTGTTAAGCACTTATCTTGCACATTTCTGACTGGTCTCCCTTGGTTACATAGTGCTAGATTAAATCAGCTATCCTCAACTCTGTGCTCTCCAGATGTTTTAGACTACAACTTCCATCTGCCCCTGCCATCATGGCCTATAGTCAGCGTGATAGAAGTTGTAAGTCTGAACTACGTAAATCTTTGCTCCATTCTAGCCAGCAGTTCTTATGTTTCTTTCAATTTTTTTTTTTGTTTTCAGAAGAAGTATTCTAATAACTAGTAAATTAAAGGTTCTTAATGTTTATTATTAATTATAAAATAATAACATTTGAAGTTCATTTTAAATGAAAAGACTGGGTTGTTTGGCACTTCCACCCTGCCCTGAAATACAGAATGTAACATGGTATAAATAAGAGCAGTTTTTTCATATGATCATTCATTTCATTTAGCTACAGTCTCATGGCTGAAGCTCTCTAGGTGGTTTACACAGTCCATAAAAACACATGATAAAAGTATGATAAAAATATCATAAAATTGGAAACATATTAAAAAGTTTCAAAGAACTTAAAACAGATAATAAAACAAAAGAATGGCTCTGCAAAAGACCTGGGTGGACAAGTCTTTAAAAGCATCAGAAAAGAGGGCCTTCTTAAGCTGGCACTAAGATGGCAGGTTCTGCTCCAGATGTGCTGTAGTGGGGAGGTTATTCCATAGATGACACCACAAAGAAAGCCTGCCCTCAGTTGGCACCCTCCATACTTCCCTTGGAGTTGGCACATTTTAGAATCTTGTTACTGAAATCCTGCAGTGATTTTACACAGCTTTCTTCCCACCTTCAGCTGCATTTTGCAGGGCCTGAGCAGGAGAATATCCTACTGGTAGCAAGCAGCCATCCCATCCTGACTGGTAGCCATTGTTAGTTTCATCCCCATCAATCTTTGTGAAGCTGCCGAGGTTCCAACGACTGATTTTCCCGATGCACTCATGTGTTGACACAGCAGGACTCCTGTAAGCAGCTGAGTCACTGTGCAGGATAATGGACCTAAATACAGATCAAACAGCCAAAACGTTGTCAGCCATGCTGAACAACTCTGCCCTGATGACAGACCTCTCACAACAACTTGAAAGATTACAGACACTCGAAGATGCAAGATGTCTGGAGATAAAAGGGCTATTAATAAAAGTTAAGCATTAAAATATTTATTCCTGACTCCCTGTTGATGTTGCACTTTGATCTTCAAACATGCTCTTAAGAATAATTCTCAGGAAGAATTTCCTGTGTAGAGCCTGTCAAAAGTGAAACAGTTTCCTGCATGTGAGATGCTGAATGAGGCTCATCCTTTGAGATTTATATTCTTCTTTCTTCCTCAATAGAAAAATATATATTACTGCTCTTCATTGTAATTTTTCCTTCCAGGATCATTTGCATGCTCCAGAAAGAACAAGAGCCACTACATTTAACCCTTTCTGCCACTGCCACATTAAATCCCATGCCACCAAGTGATGCACCTCCCTTACCTTTGCAGGAACTGGAAAAAGCAGCTGCCCAGGCCTCACAAGAGCCTCACAGCCACTTTATCCAGCTAAGAATCTCTTGGTGAAAGAAGTGCAGGGCAGGTGGCTACTCCAGGGAATCTGGCTGGCTGCTTTCTCCCTTTAGCAAATGGTGGGAGAACAGCTGGCAGGACTTCCTAGAGAACATGCTCTGGGCAGCAGTGGTGGTGGGGACTCCTGGCAGGGATGAAGACAGTATCTAAATCTGGCATTTACCATGCCCTGCTACCTGATACCAGCTCCTCAGCATGCTTCATGTGTGCGTCAGCTCTGCTTTACTGCAACATCTTGAGACCAGGATAGCTACATTTTAGGCCCTAGATTGTGGGCCACTCACTATCCAATGTGTGACAGGGTGACCCAGGATCAAGGCTTTTCTATTTTAAATCCCTTCCTTTATAACTAGTTTCCCAGGAATAGGTAATAATAATACAAATAAATACCCAAAACAATATAAAACGATACAATGTGCAAAGTGTGCATCCACGAATACGAACTTTAAGGGAAGTTAAATCCAAGCAAGGTTAGGTATTCTTAATTCCTACTGACACCAAGAGGAATAGTTAATCCCAACAGGCTTGATTTCAATACTGCTTGTGCGCAATTTACTCTCTGTATGGAGCCAAACTGTTTAAGGTATCTTGAATGCTTCATTCTGCACGAACAAGTTAGAAAAATGATAGTGGGAGAGACCAATCACTGGCATATGTAAAACTGACCATGTGTTAATCTTTATTGACTTGCAGCCCAGACCGGAATCATCATTAAAAATGAGGAAACCATCCATGCTTTTCCCGGTGATGATGTGACTCTTATGTGCCGTATCCTGAAAGGAAAGAAAATCCATATAACACAAACTCAGTGGTCGAAAGTTGCTGACGGTCCATCAAGAAGGCTAGCTGTTTATAACCCTCAGTATGGTACACAGTATGGTGAAATGGATTCTGGCTACTCTGTAAGCTACCGCAAAGGCTCCCACAATTGCTTGGAGGGCTTCAGCAGGAATGCCATCCACAGCGTTGCTACAGAAAATGACAACAAATGCTACGAGTGGATTTTACACTTGACAAATGTTAGCCTTGAGCAATCTGGCTTTTATAAGTGCATCTTTACTGCATTTCCAACTGGACCAAGCAGCTCAAAAATCAATCTTACCATTAAGAAGAGGGGTAAGTAGTAGTGGACATTTTCCTTTTAAAACGTGAGATCACTTTATCACCATCATTCACTATGATGCAAGATTTATACTTGCATTATGCTATTGGCTGACAGTGCTCCTGTTGCAACTGTTCTTTTGTCATTGAAAGTGATGTGCTTCAGCTTTCATTGTGTAAGAACTGCAGATGTTTCCCCTTCTGATCCTATTCAGAACAGGAATAGCAGGGAAAGTAGGTAGAAATAGATAGCAGTACAATTGTAAGAAGGCCTTTGAGCAGATGAGCAGACTCAGCTTGGCAACATGAACAGGAAAGCCCCTAAAGGCAGCAGAACTTACATTTTGAAATAAGTGAAATAAGATACACTACTAACTAAAGAGTATACTTGTATATCAGTCTGGAGCCAAAAGCAATGGTCAGGAACCTTACATCATGGGCCAGCTTAATTCCCCAGAGTCAACATGTAGCTCTCCACAGAAGGCCACGTAACAGTTTCCTGGCCATGCCCTATTCCAGTGTGTCAGCCTTAGACTCAGGAATAAAACTAATCTGGGTTGATGAGCATCCCTGTAACTGCAATATGCACAACTAATAAATTTAAGTTCAGGATTTCCTTCGGTTTTGCATGCTAGAGATACCACTTCATGAGAAGTCAAGACTCGCTGGAGAAGACAATGATGCTAGGTAAAGTCAAAGGCAGAAGAGGAAGACCAACTATGAGATGGCTGAGCTCCATAAAGGAGCCACAGTCTTGAGTTTACAAGAGCTGAGCAGGGCTGTCAAGGACAGGACATTTTGGAAGTTGCTGTAAGTCAACTTGGCAGCATTTAACAACAAAAAAGAGCTTGACAGAGTAATGATTCCAAAGATTTGGATGCTGGTGAAATGGGAAGAATGTCTAGGAAAGGGAAAGGCAGGGTAATGATCACCAGATGTTTTGGACTACAACTCCCATCAGACCCAGACAGCATGGCCAGTGGTTAGAGGTTATGGGAGCTACAAGTAGTAAAACCGATGGAATGTTGAAGATATACCTTTATACGTCTACCTTGCTGCTTCTCTCTTTTGAGCTATGTTCTTTGCTTCTTGCTGCCCTGTGACCTCAGTGCCAGCTTTATCACTGCCACTGAAACAGGACAAAAGTCAAATAACTACTGTTCACAGTCTGTTTATTTGATTTGCTCTTTCTGAAGTGAAAAAATCTTTGAGTACCAAAAACCATTAGCAAAAACACACACCGAGGAGTCAGCTTTTCAACGGACTCAAGTAGAACATGCTCTGAAACTGAGTCAGAGGATGAGGGATATTAGTCATGAAGAAAACATAACTGCACATCAAAGTAAAACAGTCCATCTGCAGGAAAGAGAGCCACCCCAGATCACTGGGGAGTGATAACTGGCAGACATGAAGGACCAGAGGAATGAGTATTACAACAAAACTGAATCAAAGAATGATGAAATAAAATTGTTAACACAGCATTGGGAGAATGCAGAGAGAACGTTAAACTATTCCGCTATTTAACTGACCTCCTCCTGACCTTAATTTAAACCATCTGGTCTGTATTCCTCAGCTGTTCTCTGCTTGGGATGTTCACTTGTTTACAGATTATTAATCTACTGTTTTTCAAGGCTTTGGCCTTGTTGTCCAGAATTAATGCTGAACTATTCTTTGGCACTGTCAGAACTAGCAAACCTTGGACATGACAGCAAAGTACAGTTAATTTCAAACTGAAGCAATACTTCTGCCCTCCTTGCAGCCACACCAGTGGAGGAAGAGCAGACGGAAAACATGTGCACTCAGGCATATTCCCATAGCAATTAAACTGATCTACACTAGGCATTTTTACCAGTCTTGTGATGTCTGACTCACTACATGTCACATGACACTCATCCCAAAGCACCCACTTCACACCACTCCTGCCATTATACCCCAGTCTTCCTCAGATCAGTTCCATCACACCACTTTATATGTTGTGTTTCTTCCAGTGCTTATTAGACTTGCAGTACTGCTCTGGGTGGAAGACAAGTGCCTTCAGTGGGCTAGTGGGCTGGTAGGGAGTGGTGTTACAAGAGGAGGTGTCCTATCAGGCTTAAACAAAATGGCAGCAACTCTTAGAAGAAGACAAAACCAATCAGTCTTTTGCTCCTCCCTTAGCCACCCCCAACCATGATCCCCCCTCTGACTTGCCGAATCTGGAGAGCAAATGCAATGCTTCCTCCATTTGTCCATAAGGATCAGCTACATATATATTCAGAAGGAAATCATATTATCTTTAATGGTGTTCAGTCAGAAGAAAATAACATTGTCTTCAATTGTGCTTATGTAACACGGGTAAGTTCTATCGCTTACATTGCAGCACAACTTTACATACAAAGTAAGCCTCTTCTTATCAACAATTTTATAACAAAACAGTAGGAATAATTATAATAACAAAATACTACAACCTGTGCACCCAAGTCCCTGGCAACAGCACCAATACAAATAAAACTGGCTGTAGAGCTGCAAAATTCAAGTGTCCTTTTGGATCCAGCTCATAGATAAGAATCCAGAATGTCCTCTTCAACTGATCTGAATATCCACGACACAGAAGGGTCGGCTGTACATGCAGAATCTTCAGAAACCTGGAATAAAATGCCAATTCAATTGTATTTACATGAATTCAATATGTGGATTCACCCACAACAAAAACATGTAGGAATTATACCTAGACCAAGCTGGCAAGGGCCTTAGTGGCAACAACAGCTCTCGCCTCTTCAGTTTCCTTACTCCTTTTTATTCAAATTTCTACAGCCCGGCTCTTTCTTAGTCCTACCTCTTTGGGCTGCACCAATATTTCATAGAAGTTGCACTTACTCAGAAGTAAACCACATTGGTGCTTACTCTAGGAAAAGAGAGCATGAAAGAGGGACTGTACTTCCTTCTGGAGTTGCTTTTGCGTAGAAAGGATTAAGGTTAATGATTCCACTGTCTTCACCCCATGGGAGGTGAAGGCACCATAGCTTTCCCCACTTTTCTCTCATCAATTTTTTCTTCTCCACAATTGTTGGTGGGGAGCTGTCATTAATAAATAAATAACCCCTCAGCTCCTTCCCTCCTTCACACTTGTCCATAATGGATTTTAAAAGGTATCAACTATTTTTTTTTAAAGACCACATATGCCCTGTCTAATTCTTACTATTTATTCTGCAATTGTATTTTTTGTGTGATATAATATCACATTTTCAGCACAGTGGAAACTATGCTGCATTGATTAGCATGTGCTCCAACAATGGAAAATACCTTGATGGTGTTTTAGCACAGCATTCTGACACTAAGATTGGGATGCAATGCTAGATGAGTACCAAAGAAGACAAATCATTCTTCATTAGGGATGTTTAGCGGTGTCGGTTAATTTCAGAGAAATCTGGGCAAACACCTTTATGGGGAACCTTCCATTACTATTGTTTTTATAGTAGTATTGTAATGTATGTATTGTTTTTACATTTCTTTTACATTGTGAGCCATTTCAGGCACATTTTGTGGAAAAGCTGCATACACATGAAATTAAATGGAAAAAATGATCAAAGTATTCCCTGCTATGTCAAAATGTGATTTATATCTATGGTTGTTTCTAAATGTGCACCTAGAAATTAGAACAAGCAATTTTTTTAAAGTCAGTGCCCTGTTCTGTCTTCTCTTTCCTATGCATTTCCTTGATATTGGGTGGGGGAGGGGAGTGATGTGCAAATATCCTCTCATCCTTTGGACAGAGATCCAGGTATTTGACTTCCATTGCCATGCCCCGTGCCCATCCCGTGCCCAGTAACTTGGCAGCTGAGCTACTTCCAGGGTGTGTTGAGTGAAGTCAAGTCCTTTAAATCTCACTGGATAGAAAATGTATGTTTTTATTTAAATAAACTTTTCAGATATTGATATGTTAACAAAAGAAGAGAAACATGGTCATTTCTTTCTATTCTGTTCCTTCTGAATTCTCATTTCTCACATATTCCACTGTCTATATTCAGAGTTAGAATGAATTTCTAGACTTAATATACTTGTAGAATATAGTCAGCAAGTCTAAGCCAGCAATGCAGAGAAATCCTGTTTGGAAAGAACTATATGCTGTGATTTTAAACTCTCTCTCTCTCTCTCTCTCTCTCTCTCTCTCTCTCTCTCTCTCTCTCTCTCCCCCCCTCCCTCCCTCCCTCCCCTTTCTTCCTTTTGCTACAAAGTGGAAGATAGCAAGAGTTTTGTGGTTGAAGCATTACTAAACCAGACACTGGAAATTCCATGCTTTAAAGATATGCCTTTTGTAAATGGCACTTTGAAATGGCTACTGGTGAGTAACAATTTGTCAGTCACTTTTAAGAAAAAGTGATGTTCTATTTTTTTCACACAAACAGAAACATTCGGATTGAACTGTGAGTCTTAAGATCCAGACTCATAACCTTATGAAAGAGAATGTCTCTAATTTCAGTTTCAGGACGCAAATTTCTTCCAGAGTTTATAGTAAAGACACTGCAGTAACAAAGGAACACTACACATGCCAGATCATTGGAGAGGAGTACATTCAAATAAAGATAACTGAGTACTACCAAGGTTATGTGTGCTTCAGCATATATGTTCACTTGACTAGGAGAACTCTGCATTCTTATCACAGACCTGCCTGGACTCTGTGCATGGAGTTAGTCTGCAGGAGAAGAAAAGCAAACTATAGAAGCAGCTACATTAGCATCTTGGAAAACAGATGGCTTTTTGGGACATGGGATTACATGGACAGCCATACCCATGACAACGATGTTTAGTGTTCCGGCAATCAGTGTGTTTTGTTTTTCTTAGCCTTACATGCTACGTGAAGATACTCAGTGAGCACATCCTTGGGGTTATTAGATCATTGCAAATGAATTCATTATTTCCCACCTATTTTGTTAAACCTCAGATTTTATTGTTTCTGTTGGCTTTTGGACTTCTTATAAGATTCTAATGAGACTGGCATGCTATACTCACTTGCCAGGGAGCAAAATATATGAGGCTCGCTCCTGAATGGACATGCATAGGATGGTACAGTTAATATATCTCGCATTTTTCTTAAATAGTTGCTGCAGGAGGTATCAGGAAAGTGTAGAGAGGAATTAACTCTGTCCCTATATGTGATAGTATGAACAGAAATCTCCTAAGTTGCTCTTTCTGCAGGAGAAAAGCTAAATAAATAGCTTTATTGGCATAATGGCATAAATAACTCCTTTAGATTCATCAGATTTTCACTAGAATCATATAACGCAAAGGAAGTTATTTTTTGTTTAAAGGCTAAGACACACCTCTTAAAGAAAAGGTGATCACATTCAGCGCAGTGCACCGTTTGGTTCTATGACTGCCACAGCTACAGGACACAGATCTTAAAACAGAATGTAAAAGAGACAAGTGTGTTGCTTGGCTCCAAGGAAGTGGAGAAAATTTGGAGTCACAGACCAGCAATGTCTTATTCGATGAGTGAATAGGAAAATAGTCCAAATAATGTATCCAAACTCCTTTTGTTCTTCCCTTCTGGTATCCTTTTCTACTGCCAGCAGATGGAAATACTCCCCCGGTTGTCTCCACCAAATCAGCATTAATACCTGAGGGTTTCAGGTATCTTCTTTGCATAGCATGGGGGTTGTCTATTAGGCAAGAGGTAATGCAGCTCACAAAAGATATCATAAAGTCTCAAATAAGAAAATATAGATTTTTACCAAAGAAAATGACGATAGATAGAAGTTTGAAAATCTGGAACATACACACACCACATGATCAATGAAGTAATAAAGCAATCAGGGATAAACATACAGGTGACCTAACTAAGCTACATCCATATATTATCCTGATTCCTTGTCCAAGCAATGACTTGCTGCCATTGGCCCACTTTTCTCAATCAATTCTCCAGTATCAAGTAGAGTTCCAACTATTTCTTTTTTCCAAGGGCTCTAGACTTTTTTCTCCATCTGTCTGCTCTGGATTTTATCTTCTTTTTTTCTCCACTATCTCCAAGCAGTCAAGATGAGAGGTCCTTGTTCATTTCAGCACACTGAATTCCCGTTTCTCAAGTTAAAACTTTTTTGTTCCTTTGATCTCCAGTTGTACTTCCCAATGTTTAAGCTAATTTCCTAATTTCTATAATCTAAACTATTTTTTTACTTCTAAACTATTAGCCTTTTGGCTGAATCTGAATACAGGACACACATGTGACTATACACATGCACACAATACTAAACCGTAATCCCCTACAACCAATTAAATATAAAAAATGGAGGACCTGCTTCACAATTGACTTGCTGTATCCCCATTCTCATGGCAGAAGGCCAGCTGTGGACAGGGGGCAGTTGAAAAGTTCAGTGGTTGATATTGACCCATAAATATAGCTGCTTTTATGCTGGCAGTGTTACGACACTACTATCTTCTGCTATGTTGATTCAAAAAGAGCAAAAGCATGAAAAATCTTTTGGCTGTTAATCTAAACTTTTCACCACCATAACTCTCATTTTTGGCAGAAACAAAATGGAAATGAAGAGATGCTCAAAAATGAACAGCCCTACCACCATCGTGGGTCTACACCCAGTGTCACAATAGACAGGGAAAGAATTCATCTGAATTCAGAAAATTCCTTAATTATTTCACCTGTATCAGTTCTTGATGATGGCAAGATGTTTGTCTGCTCTGCTGCCCATCACACTGGAAGAATCCTGAAGAACACCACTGAAATCAAAGTATTTGGTGAGAAGGACTAATCTTTATATTATTAGTAAACAGGGAATAAGTTTTGGATTAGTAGACTTAAAAACGGTTTTAAGATCAACTTGAGTGTTTTAAGTGCTCTTAAGACATTTATATGTGGGATTCCCATAAGGAGATGTCCATGCTCAAAGTGTGGACATTGGAAGCAGGCTGAGGAAGAAGATATGTTTAAATATGCAAAAGATATGTTTAAATCAATGGATGCTACAAGATTAGTATAAACAAGACAATAAGACTAATTGTGAGTTGCTCTTTTTAATCTGTCTATCAAAGAGCCAAGGTTTTAAACCCTTTTCTAAACCTGTTGCTAATCAGGAACTTTACATATCTGACTGTATGGTAAACACTATGAATTTAAATTGGCAGGTATGTCTGCCCCCTACGGTCTTCATTAGTGGTTTAAACACTGAGAACAGTGAACTGATTCCTCCAAACTTCAGTCGATTTTGGGCTTGCATTACTGACACAAACATAAGCTCTAGCAAGAGAAACTTACCATTTTAGTCTGCAGCCTATACACATTTGTCTAGAAGCTGGTTCCACTAAATGCAGCAGGTCTCCTTCTGAATAGGCATGTCTCAGGCTGCACTGTTAATCTCCAATGAGCACATCTTTAGTATTCCAGACCATGTTGACATTTTACATTACTAGTAGCCTGCTGGTAGTTGTAAGCCTTTTTTCCTGTCTAAACTTAATAATTTATGATGCATATGAATTGAAACACAATGGCCTTGTACTGACTCCTTAGAATTAACCGTATTGCTTTCAGCATTCCTGGTTGGAACAGGTCAGCTGCTTTGACTGAAAAATTATGACAAGGTAGCAAGGGTGTCTGACACTCAAATGTACATAAAATATTGGCAAAGAACCATTCTGACTGATGCTGCAGATGTTGATTGCATCCTGGTATCATCAAACTCATAGCAGGTCCAACCAGGCGTGAGTAAGTCTGGATCCAAACCACTGAGCTTATGATACTTGTGAAAGTGCCACTTTCCCCCCCCTAAATGTATCAAGTCCCCTTTTTCAAAGCCAGCAGATAACTTATCTTCAATGATGTTGCCCATTTTAGCTCTACATAAGTTACTGCTCTGTATTACTATCTTTCCAGTAAACCATCTCCAGAATAGTGTTTTATCCAAAAACACAGGAGAGGATCTTCCTTGAGAGCATGTAAAAAGTACAATGACAAACCTTTCTGGATATAATTCCCTGGGGATGGGGACAACAGCATTTCTAGAGGCCTGAGACTGCTGGAAAAACTATCTTTAAAGCTGCCATTTTAATGCTGTTAAAATGAATGGAAGTCAAGCAGAGAATTCCTATTAAACGGCTTTCAACTTAAGCAGCCAATGACTTACTTGTGATCCCTGTCCATAAAATGCAGTGAGAGTTTTTTTCAATGGAGGAAGCAGATATTTGTCATGCAGTCAGAAATTTAAAAAAGAAATGGGTGATGCAACATGAAGTAGCAATTTATTTATTTCTATAACTAACATGGAAATGGTTTTTGAGCTTATATGTGAGCAAAGGGTTCACTTTACCATTGCTGTCAATCAACTGACAGAGCGGCTGCACTGTAATCTGCTGTGTCTTAATTGTATAAATAGATTTTCTGCAGGGGAGAAGGGAAAGAAGAGTGAACAAAGTCAGACCAATGTTATGAGTGAAGCATTGCCTGCTTTTTAAAGCTCTTAAAAATTCTGCTCTCCCTTCACTCAGCTTTGTCACATCATAATCCTGGCCATATTGGACATAAACCAAAATCCTGTGAAGAATCTGATGACCTTTGCATGTAGCAGGGATTTTTCTGATTGTCCTCAGTGACATGAACATTGCTTTATGATATCCAGATTGTTTTAATAGTTTCAGTATATCCCATGAATGCTTGGGAATTATCTTGCTTTATCAGCATTTGCAGCTTACATAGGGTACTCTGAGAGCTTCAAGAACTTCATATCGAATGACACAGAAAGTCAAAACAGAGAGAAAACCACACACCCTTTTTGACCTAGACCCCACATTTGGCACTAGTGAAATAGTACCTATCCCAGTTTTTCCCAACCTGGTGCCCTCCAGTTATTTTGGACTCCAACATACAGCAACCCTGGCTAACATGTCCAGTGATCAGGAATTCTGGGAATGTAGTCCTAAGACTTTCAAGGACACCTAGTTGGGGAAAGTTCATCTAGCCTTCCAAGGCAGTTGTACTCTGTAGGAATTTAAAAATATTGTCATGACTGAGAGGTACAAAATGTGCTAAGAGTTTGCCATTAAAGTTCCTTCTTTATTTATTTAGCTTCTATACGGCCCAATAGCCAAAGATTGCTGGGTGGCTTATGGTAGGCAGAGAATGCTGAGCTACTGAACGAATCCTGTTAACACCAAGATTTCTTTTGAGAAATGAACATTATCCATGCACTGCCATTAGAACTACAGCCGTATAGTTACATGTATTTTGTAAAACAGGCTAATGATCATTGTGCAATAACTTACAGTGCAAAAACTTGTAGCGCAAGCCAATTAATTGACATGTATGTTTTCTTTTGGTATTCAAGCAAAACCAGAAATTTCAATTGCTCTCATCACCAGTGTCCAAGGAGAAGTAAGTGAATTTACATATATAAATTTATGGTTATGTGCAGTTATCTCTATCCAATCAGCCAATCAAAAAGGAAAAATGTTGTTTATTCAGGGATACACTATAACAACTGAATTTGACATCTGTTTTGTTTTCCTTTTTACAAGTTTCAAATTGCCCAACCAGAATTTTCTCTTGATCAATATATGGCATTCAACAGACATTTTTTTGTAGGAGAAGATCCAAAATGACAAACCCTTATTATTTTTTAAAACACTATTTCCTTGCATGTTGCCCTGAGAGCTTCAGCTGTGGGCTGACTCATAAACTGAATGAATGAAGTTATACAAGAACAAATAACAGAATAGTAGAAAATTAGAAACAGAAAATTAAATTATACATTTTACCATTCGTCACTGTTAACTCACAACTACACTTAGTTCATAGGCACAGAGCATTTACCCTGAAAATTCTCTGATCACAGATATCATTGTCTTTGTGTTGCTTTAGTGTAAAGGGGGGCAGTCAGGAGCCAGGCATACCCTGAACATGTAGGTAGAATATGCAACACAATATCCCATCACTTTGAGATACAGCAGTGCAATTAAAAAAATGTTTAGAGGATGGTATTGTTTCTGACCAGGGAAACCTTGGGATGCGACAAAAAAAAATCAGAAGCATTCCTGCAAGAATTGTATGAATTTGTGCTCTGTTCCTGATAGAAATGTGCTATTCTCAGGAGCTGTAATTAGGCCTCTAAAGTGAATATTTCTCTATACTAAAACAAAATCTTCACACAAATTATTGACCAAATTCTCATCAGAGTATCTGATGGAAGCTTTCTTCTAAGTAGTTGCCCTTGGAAAAGGGAGCCAGTATTTTAAATGCCTACCTTGATAGCTTAAGGAAAAGGGAATTTATCTCTCTTCTTTCTCTTTTTTTCTTCCCTTCTCTTCCTGAGTTTTTTGACTCATAAAGAAAAAGGAAATAATGATGTATATGGTCAACAGGAAGCCACAAATAGCATTGTTTGTCTGAGCTGACCCAAGCTGCCAGCCATTCAGCTGCCAGTCCACAGCGTGTTTTTGTACCCCAGACACCAAATTAACCAAATATTCCACAGGCTTAAAAAGCTGTCGGATTGGTCTAGCATTTTGCCCTGCGTGCAACAATAGTAGAGCTACTGAGTTCTCACCTTTAATAACGTCAGCAGGGAACCCGACCACATCCTCTGTGCTGCTAGACAAACCATATGACAGACAGACACACATAATTTCCTCCATTCCATGCAATATTTCAGTGCTGATATTTGTGTGCCTTCATCACACATATAGAAATAATTTAAGATAATTATAGGGAAGGTAAAAACCTTAACATTTCTGGGAAAAATACTCACTCTGAAGCATTGAAATGTCTTTTTTGTATGCATGCATGAATTTATGCATGCACCATCAGTATTTCTGACATTTACCAGTATGACAGAAAAATTTGTCCTAAGAAGCCTTCAGTGTAAAAGTTGACACAGAGAAACAACAGAAATAGGCAGAAGTTTGGATAATAAATATATTAATAATTATGAGTGGTGGGAAGGGGTTGCATTAAACTTGTAGGGCGCAGCTGCATGATATTTCCTTCAGAGTTGGATGGTTCCTGGCTTTGTTGAGACACCTACCCAAGTATAGGAAGAGGGAAATTTTAATCCTTACCTCCTCAACCACAATTGTATGAATATTTCCTTCCTTTTACTTGGAACTATTGAGCTTGGTTTCTGTGGTGTGGGAGGAGTCCCTATATTTCATAATTGCATATGTGTGAGAGAGGCAATATCAGGAAAATAATCGCAGTTGGGAATAGAATTAAACTGCTTTTCCCCATGTAAGGGCAATAATAAAAATAGGAAACCCGACTTTAAATAAAGGTATAAGTACCGGAAGAGAGGGCTTCTAGTTATACCTATAACATGTTTAATGTAAATTAATTAAACATTTGGCTCATTTAGGGTGCAATCCTATGCAGATTTAAACTGAAATATATCCTACATCGTTCAATATTCACCAGCCAGCATGGAAAATGCTCTTGTTTGGGCATCAACAATACAAGACCAGCCAGGGCATGGACATCATCACTTTTTACTGCAGACTTTCTTGTGCATTGCCCACATTTTACCTGAATCCAGACACAGTTTTAAAAAAATAAAAGAAAAAATGCCTCCACTGATTCCAGTGGAGATTTCCTTCTTCTGTTTGTATCTTCTTTCAGGGTGGGGTGTGGAATTTTGGGATGAAACAAGTAGGAAAAATGCTTGAACCCTCTCCCTACAAGGGCCATGATCCCAATTCCAGATAGGAACATGAGCACTTATATGAAAGGAAGCAGAATTTAAAGGAATGTGGGGTTGGGGCCTCAACAATCTACTTTTTGAAACAGTTTCTACCTAAGGGCCTAAAGGACTGAATGAATCAAGCATAAACCTAGAATTTCATGCACGGATATCATTATCATTGATAAAGTAAGTATTCTAAACAGGGTAGCCTTCCCAAGAAGAGAACAGATTGGCACTTTCTAATAGTAATGCATAGATAGGCATTTTAAAATAATTACTAAAATCTACATCATAAAGTATACTTTATCACAGGGAGAAAAGTTATCACCAGGTGACCTGTGCATCCAGGTGCTAATGGGGAAATGCCAGTCCCTGATTTTTCCTTATCAAGATGATTTATCTTTAAACTGTACATGAACTGGACAAAGAGAAGACCATCTTCTGTAGAAAGGACACACAACCACCCTAAATCTTGTGATCAGTTTTGTGCTAATTCTGTGTAATTAGTTTTTTTTTATTATTATTATTCTCAAGGTTACAGTGTGTGGAAAGACAAAATGTAAATGTAAATTCCAGTCCAATTAAAAGACTGCAATCCAAACAGATATTTATTAAAATTACAATATTGCAGAGAAAGGTCCTTAGCCAACCTGGTGAGCAAGGAGCAACTCACCCTCCTATCACAACCACAGCTTTTTATAGGTTGCCTCTTGTTTCTTCTGGAACAAAAAAAGAAGCAGGAATAAAAGAAACAGGTATCACACAGGTGGCTTTTTATTGTACCCTATGCTGAGAGACTTCTAAATTCTAACAGTAAACATTATCACTTTTTCGAGCAACTGACCTCCTTTCTAAGTTTTATTGACCCCACAAGCAGTACCCAACCTAATGATAAAACACAAGCAATAAAAGATTTAACTTGATTCAGAAAATTTCTTCCACAAGCCCAGTCCTAAATATATTTGCATCCAGATGTTTTACAGAATTCAAAGATTACAGCCTTAGAGTTAAAGCACAATTAAATATTAAAAATAAATCAAACAACTACTGAGCCAATTTCCTCTTATTTTCTAATAGGGTAATTTTACCTGCATGGTAAGGAAGGCATTTCCCAAGCCAAACCTTTTATGGTTCATAAATGGAGAGATCCTGAAGGACAGCTCTGAAGGTATTATAAATGTCATACAAAATAGCATTTCAAATATGCACCTTTAATATATATTTGTTTGATTATTTAACAGTGCAGCATGTTATACCGGGTAATCTTGGGGAGTGATACACCTCAAAAGGAGGTGCATGCCCACCAGATTACCTTGAAAGACTTGGGATCTTTTGCTGGGGTTTAATGTGCATGGCCAGAGAGAAGAAGCCTAGCTTTGCATTCACGCACACATACAACATTTAGAAAGAAAAGTTTATTCATCAAGAAAATATAAACCAGTAACAAGCTTTTAACCCAACGCTGTCCAGGGTAGCACATACGCGTATATCTGTTGCATCCCAATCTTATTTTGTATTTCTAAAGTGATAAAGAACTTCCTGCCTAGCAGAGAAAGAGAAGGGAGAATGGGGTTCACGGCTTGTCCTGCCGGGTAGATTCTCAACAGCAGGAAGGGTGCAGGGCATCCACAGGCTGGGCAGAAGGGGAGGGCAGGCCTGGGGTTCAGAAAACAGATGAAGGTTTTCTCTGCATTTTGGAGAAAAGAAATGAGAGAAGGCTAAATTAAACCATTCAGGTTGCTCAGCCCAGTTGTGTGCTTTAACCAGATGCACTATGGGTCCCAGTGGATCTAAATCAGAAAAGGGGGGTTTGACACAGATGCAGAACTCCCATTGTCCCCACCCAGAATGGCCAATGGTCACAATGGCAGGATTTGTAGTCCAACAGCATCCAACAGCACAATTCTTTTAGAATAAAGCCATGTTCCATCGACCATCCCCCCTTTTTTGGTCCTTATGCCACTGTCTTGTTTCTTTCACATAATAAACCTGCAGGCAACTTTTTTTGGGTTTTAAATTTATTTATTTATTTGCAAAATAGATATAAAGCACTCATGTCCTTTTAATGCAACTACTGTAGCTGTTTAATGCAACTACTTTATAAATAATGCATTTGATTATTTTATTATTGTACCAAGAGCGTAGGACGTTTTATATGGCTCTCATTTTCAGGAAAGCTTGTTTGCATGGTTATGTATATAGGACAGGATATGGCAAAAAGACAGATGTCCTTTCACTTTTCTCCCCAAAGGAATATTCATTGTTAATGAAGATGCAAAACTTTCAGGAGGTTTTTATGAGATGAGATCACTGTTGACAGTGCAGAATGCAACCATTCATCTGGCTTTCAAATGCATGTCTGTCTATCCAGTCCCTAGAAGTGAAACACAGAATATTTCATCTGAAGAAATAGTTCTCCCTTATGGTGGTAAGTCAGTTATCTGAAATCTAAAGGATATATCATGCCTGCCAACTTGGTCTAATTCAACACACTGATAATATGAAGTCTTTAAAAGAATTTAAAAAACCTACTTCATTCCAGAAAGAAAAGCAGATGTTTCCAAAGTACAGTGTAGGCTTCTCTACAAGAGGATTTTAGTCTGCACTTGTGATACTTCACTCATGGAATTTTGCAGGTGCTGAAAAAGTGGGACAAATAATTCATTGGACTGTCAGATCTGGGCATGGGGCTCCGCATGGTGGTCAGAACCAGAACTTACAACTCATTATTGGCAGGATCAGTCCCAGGCCCTGCTGGACAAGAGCTATATAAGAGCAAGCTCTTCACCCAGAACTTGCCACAACAATACAATTTTGTTGTAGTGCCTCCATCTTGTCTGACCCAGATTGCACCTCACTGTCTCCCCTGAGCAACACAGATCCTGCTGTGGTGTGGTTCCTGTCCTTCCTTGTTACATCCTGCCTTGCTGCATTGCCTGAGCAATACAGGTTTTCCTGTGAGCTGTGATTCCGCTCCTGCATCTTGCCTTCACCCTTGCCATATATCCTTCCTTGTCTTGCTGCATCATCGTGCCTTTGCTTGACTGTCAGCTACTATGATGCTATCCAACAATTATTGCAGGACAGTTCACCAAGCAATGGTTATTTTCAACAGAGTATCAGACAACATCTTTGGCATTCTCGGAATTCATAACACAAGCAACTGCCATTTCAGATTCCTCTGAAGAAAGTAAGTTAAGCTTCTACTTAGTTAATTGTACGATTTCAATTTCTAATTTTTCTGTGCTTTTCTCAAAACCTGCCAAATAAATAATATAGGTACCACCATGGAAAGAGAATGTGGTGATGAGAAGGCATTTTGTCAACTCCAATGGCCACATGTCACTTTTCTTCCCTAAATAAAAAACAGAAACCTAAAGTTCTACACTGAGTTTATTCCATTCTGATCATGAAAAATGGAGAGCCAAGGCCAATCAGTCTGAATAATAACAAAGCTAATATTTTGCAGCACTAAGCTACTAGATCAGACTCAGATCAGTCTGTCTATTTACTATTATTACTAGTTACTACTATTACTTTAGCAATTACTGTATAATTCATCCACTGTATTTAAGGCAATGGTTATTTTAATTTCTACAGGATTGCAGACTATGACTTCAGAAACTTCAGCCTCCATTAGTCAAGTTCCTTCAGTTTCAGATTCCTCCAGAGAAAGTAAGTTTTGTTTATTCCTATGAAACATTTTCTTTGTTTATATCATGAAGGTAATCTGCTCATCATAAAAAAAAATCCACCAAAATATTGCTTATATGCTTACCTTGCTGTTAGAGCATTAGCACAAATGTAATGGTTTAAATGGTAAGAATCAGACTAAGCATGCTATTTATGGAAGAGCTTCCAAATGGGCAATTTGTTGTCTCTTGGTATGCACTCCGAGTAGAATCAAGCTCTCTCTTCACATTTAAGGAGGAAAGGGTCAGCATGCAGTGTTACAACACATGCATTATAATCAGACGCTCCCAGCCCAGCCCAGTCCCCAGCATGTCTAGATGGGAGGAAAAGACCACAGCATGAAACCCAGTTAGTTAAGCAGTACTGAGCTAGATGAACCATTGGTCTGACTCAGTCTAAGCCAGGAGTGGGAACCTTTTTTCAATCTGAAGTCCGAATTCAGTTTAGGATAAGCTATCTGGGGCCAAATTCTAGTGGTGTGTTAGAACCAAAGACAAAAGGGCTAGGGGTCAAAATACCAAAATAAAAAATAAAAAAACCCAGCATATATTAGTTTAAGAATTTTTCAACCAATATTTAGCTTAGGGCATTTTCTCCTGTAGGAGAAGCATTTCAGCATTTTAGAACTGATGGTGGAGGAATTACACAAAAGCTGGAAAGCCATCAAATATCTTGTGCTTGTGGGAAAGGTGGTAGGGCAAGGGGATGAGGGCATTTGGGGATCCTCAGGGGCGAGATTTGATCCTGGTCTAAAGCAACTTTCTGTGTTACAGTTTGAGGAATATCTTCTTCCCACTGGTAGACACTGAAGAGGTATTTAACACTGTGTTACATTCTTGGAGTAGGTACATAAGGAGTCTCTCTGTCACAGCTTCTGTCCACTAAGCCTGTGTATATAAGGAAAGAGGGCTGATACAGTCCACTGCTGTCATCATCACTACTGACACTGCCTCACTCTTCCACCTTCCACTTCTTCACATTAGTGCTGTCTCAAAAAATTATTTCTCATTTTTTTCAGCCATTCTCATTCAATTCAAAAAAGGGAAATGCTTTGAAAATAAATTAATGAAAAAAATGAAGACATTCTCGTGGGAAAGGTCAGGTTCCTTATGGTTACCTTATTAATGAGGTGACTGAGGTATGTGTACAAATGCCCCATCTTTCATGGTGCAATCATCTTTCCAGAGCATTCTTGGCTTCCATCCCTTCAGTGCGAGTCCGTGGTGAAATATAATGAGGTAATTCTTCCCATAGGGCTCTTCACATCAGAGAGCACTGGGAAGCTGCAGAACAAGGAGGAAATGTATAACTGAAAGGAAACACATGTGCACAGAGCCCTCGGCCCTCTCACAGTGCTTGGGTGTGCTAAAAAACACTGCAGAACTAAATTCAGTGCCCCAAGAATGAAGCAGAAGAATGGAGGTATTTTCTGTGGGGGAAAAGAACTTTGGGGAACATAAACGACAGTTTTGGCATAGTGTCCCACTCTTTTCCTGGAGCTGGACGTGGACACAGCACTTTTCACATCTACAAGGTGGAGGATACAGAAAGGAAACCTGGTGGCCGATACAGTTAACAGTGCAAGGAAGAAAATGATGACAATGAAGACAAAGACAAGGATGAAAAAACCACTTAGGAAAAACGACTGTTCCAGAAAGGAGAGAAGGGAGGGAACAAAGAGCAGCATAGGAGTTTTTCCAGTCCCTTTGCTTATCCCACCCACCCACACAAATGCATGATACTCTGTAAGGGTTTCACGTCATCTTAGAGGTTTTTGTCTGAGTCAGATAATAAGCAATGAGAATGGCTGCAGTAATGGTTGATTGCATTTTAAGGCTCTCTTTCTGATTCTCGCTTTCAAAAGAAGAGGTTAATTCATTTTTCTTCTTTCATTTTCTCTTTGTTTCCCTTGGGAAAAGCTTTGTTGCCTTCTGTTAGCAGCAACTGTTGCCTGTGCCACCAGTCCTCTAATATACACATTTAAGTCCACAACATAAACAGACAAAAGACACAAACATCCTGGAAAGGACATGAGTTCATGATTGAAGTGCTGTAGCTGAAATGGAATGCAATTTGAGAAGATTCTTAAAATATTCCTCAAATCCATTCCCTCTGGGAGTCATTGCACACAAGTGAAATTACATTAGTTGCTGCTGTGGTCCAGATGGAGTACACAGTCAGCTGTTTCCTGAACATTTGTCTTAAACTAGCTCAGATGTCCTTGTAAGACAGAGACAACATATCATAATGATGGGATTTAATGCCTGACAAAGAAGACTGATTTGATCTTCTTTTAGTTCAGGTTTAGCTACTCTAAGCTTGTTTCTTTGTGCCCGGTTCAGCTATATCTCTCTGTGTGTTTTCCTTTTCATGTTAAAATTTTAGCAGCCTTTCTAAAGCTCCTTCATTAATGTCTCTCAGAATGTGACCATTAGTACCAGGGAGATCTCAGAAATGGTCTCTGGGTGTACATTTAAAAAAATGAACCTGGAAACAAACCCATTGCAAAAAAGATATCTTCTCAATGCTCATCAATGACAATTTTAAAAAAAATATGTATTTTTAACACCCCCTGCAGGAGCACACTCAAAAAAACACATAAAGGAATGCAATTTCAGGAGAAAATGGAGAGGAAAGTCTTGATTCAAATCATGGTTGTGTGTGCTTACCCTAGAGTAAAAGAGAGAGAGAAGCCTCAGCAATGTGATCAGTGTAATATGTAGTTGGACTCTTAGTGTGCCCTCTCATCCAATCTCCACGCAGATTAGCAGAAATGTTAGATGCACATGTGCAACTCCTTTCTTGTCACCTCAATGGCTGGCAAAGCTCAATTTGAATGTCTGCAGTGTTTGTAGGATATGGTCAGTTCTGGGGTAGAGTGCATCCAACTTTCTCAGGTGCTCTGTATTCACACTAATGAAACTCTGGATCACAATCAAGATTCATAAAATGGCATATTGGTTGTCAATGGCTTTGCATTCCTGCCAAAGCAAAAATGCGGGAAGAATTTCCCTTTGCCTTTTTCCTTTCACAGTAAATGTTTTCCATTTAACTTTGCTGAGTGGTAATTCAAGAGACAGCTGTTCGATGCTAAGTGTTAATTGATGCTAAGTGTTAATTACCCTATGTTTCCTCTTCAAAAACCTACAACTAATGAGAAAGAGTTGATTTCTGACCCAGATAGATGCCAATAATGATTTACCTGTTCCCAGGAAGATATTTGAAACAATAAAGGAAGTGCTTTTCAGTATAATTTGCCTGGACTTGAACATCTGATAATGTTTTGAAATATTCAGATTTTCCTTCATTTGTTTTTATAGTTGTACACTAACTGAAGAAATGGGAAAAGATTGCATGAAGGGAATGTGCTGTCTCAATTCCTTCAAAATGTGGACTTGGCAAAGTTGGGCTCCATGCAGTGGTGTCTTGGTAAATGTCCATGTGTGGTCTCCCAGCTACAGCCCCACAGAGAGGCCAAAAATACAGGCAATCTGTGTTGAAACATATCAGATAATATAATGTAGTTTTCATCTCCAGCAGGAGCAGCTCTTCCATAAAGCAAATGGTTCTTAATTGTCCATTCAAGAATAAGCCACCAAAAAGTATTTTCAATTACAGCAGGGAAGGTGCCAAGTCACTGTGAATTAATTTCCCGTACGTGTGCTGGCTGCAGTTTGTCATTACATCTGAACCCAGCCAGGATGGTTAGCTGAGGTGGTTAACAAAATACCCACAATCCTAAAATAGATCATGGGATATGGTTCATTTGTTTATCAACCCAACATCTCACTTTGGTTGAGTTCATACAAATAATACACCATGGCATGCCTCTGGGAAAATTTACCGATTTGGACTTGTCATTACATGCAAACCAGGTCAAAGTTGCTGAGAAAATTCACTTTCCTCCGGTTACTCTCAGGATTGCAGCTAGAGCAGGGGTCTCAAACTCAACTTACCTGGGGGCAGTCTGGGTGAGGCTGGGCCGCATCAAGTATTCCACCACCGCGGTGGGGGTGGGCCGCTCATCCCGCGTCGCTCCCGGAGGCTGGCCCGGGTGCCGCTGGCGCTTTGAAGGCCGCAGGGCCCCTCCCCCATGCCCCGCCCATCCTGGCAATTGGCCCGCGGGCCGCGAGTTTGAGACCCCTGAGCTAGAGGGTACAGGGAATTTTGAGGGTGGTTGCAAACAATGTCTACATCATTGCAAAGCAGAAGCAAAGGGGCCATTGTGCTGCATCACTGCAAGCTTTAGCTGCACTACACCAATAGGTAGGAAATATTTAGGGGGGAAAAGTCAAAGGAAAAGGAAGCTGGGAACTGGGACCTCTCCTAAGGATATCTGCTCTGCAAAGAATTAAGACACTTTTAACAAGCACCTTAAAGACCCTTTTTTCTTTGACAGAACCCAGGCTTTCTACTAAAAGCCTACAAGATAACACCATGGCTGGACTTTCGAATTACTCCACGGTACAGCAAAGTAAGTTATACATAAGTTTAAAATTGTGTGGATGCGCTCTCTGTGTGTATGTGATCTTTTAATTCCCCAAACCAAGGTGTTTGGCTTTATATGTACCAAAAAGGAGAAAAACAGAAATAAATCCTTTGTTTAGGCTATCAAAGAAGGAACGTGGAGAGTTTTTACCATCAGTTTAATGAAGGAATTGATAGTTGCCTTGCTACAGTTCCATCAATACTTCTATGTAGTGAATATTAGTTTGACCTTACATGGGACTGCCCTTAAGGCAGTCCAGCAATTACAACTGGTACAGAATCAAGCTGCAAGGTTGATAATGGGTACGTCCCTCAGGGCACACATTGTCCAAGTGCTCAGAGATTTACACTGGTTACCAGTTGCTGCCCAAGCCCAATTCAAGATGCTTGTTATGACATATAAAGCTCTAAACTGCTTAGGGCCCGGCTACCTGGAGGACCGTCTCCTCCTATACAAACCTGCCCATCCCTTAAGATCAGGCCAGGAGGCTCTTCTACAAGTGCCATCCCTCAAAGAGGCGAGGGCAATGCCAAATTGATGAAGGGCCTTCTTAGTGGCTGCTTCCTGTCTCTGCAATAGCCTCCCTCAGAACATTTGCCTGGCTCCATCTCTATTACAGTTTCAGTGCCAGGCAAAAACATTTCTTTTAATATCTTTTTTAGTAATTGATCCTGCCCTCCCCTGCACCATTATTTTGTCTGGTCGTTATAGTTAGCTTTACAATTTTAATAATGAAGTTTTTATTCTTCATTTTATATATGTTTTATCTTTATATGTGTATTTTATGTGTTTTTATCTTTATTGTAAGCCATCTTGAGACTACAGTAGTAGGCGGCATATACATGAAAGTATAAATAAATAAAAAATAAATAAATGATGGGGGAAGGAATGGCAAGGTTTCAAAGTTGTTGTAAGCATTTCTATTGTGAAGGAAATATATTTTCCAAGCTCTGCAAATGGTAAATGGTGATTGTTGAGGAAATGCTGTCATTGCTAATGTTCAATCTTCAAGTTGTCCCTTGTTCTCAACAACTTGACAACTTTCTAAAAGCTGCCTTTAATTGTTTACTTTTTTTAAAGAAGAGAATTCCATGTGCCACTCTAGCAGGAGAGCTTACCATAAAGGTTATGAGCTGCAGCAAAGCAAGTTCCTAAAAGTTCATTTTCCAGTTTTCGTTTCTGGACTATGCAGTCCAGCTTTCCACAAACTGCTTTATTTGGTTTTTAAGAGTCAAATTGGCTCTCAGATTACAGTGACATAACTCCCTATTTCTTTTTAATACATACACATCTTCTTCACTCCTTACCATGAACAGTGGATGGGGCTACCAGGACTGGATTTTGCTAGCTGCAGTGCTATCACAGTGGCCGGACTGAGATGATTGTATTTATTCTGCTGTCTGGAAAGGCTCTCACTCATTATTCTTGGAAGATTCTAACCAGTGACCTAAGGGTTAACTCTGTTATTCACAGTTATGCTCCTCTTAATACAATCTTTTCCTTTGTCTAACTTATTTAGCAGGCTGCTGTTCCTTCAAGCTGTAGATGCTTGTTTAATTTACAAGCTGTGAAAAACTATTCCCTGTGGCAAGTCATTCTGTTCGCAATGGCTCACCCACATTACACGCATTTAGGATCAAGCAAACAATTATTGATTGCTTGTTTCCAAACTGCTTCTGACACAAGTTACTGAAGGATAGAAAAGTTTTGGAGGAAGCACAAGACAGATGTTCTGTTTTCTGACAACTCTGCTTGTCCACCTTCTTCAGCCATACGTGGGCATCAGGAAGTTGCCCCTCTATGAACTGCATGAGCTTGAGAGTCATAGAGAACCCAATTCTCTACACAGTTTGGCTGGGGGAAGAGGTACAACTTTTGCTTTCAAAATCCCAGCAGACATCTTGGAAGAGCATGCATATATCCCAAATATATATCCCTGATATAATGTCTGACATTGTTCTGAGAACAAAGAATATTTCAGATTTGGGACTACAATAAAATGTGATATATTCAGTTCATCACAAGCTTCTGTTGCAGCCTTAACAGAAAAGCTTAATGCAGTTCACATGCAACAAGTGTGTGTCATAAAGCTCCCATGTATATATTCAAATGCTATGACCATGACTGTGGCAGCACAAATGTATGTTCCAATTGTATAGGCTGTTACAGAATGAGAACACTGACTGTCTTATACTGACACCATTACTAGAGTAAGTCCTGCACTGTCTGTGCTAGTGTTGCAGTTTCTGGACTGGAGAAACCAAAGATTGCTTCTAGAGCAAGGGTGCACAAGCATTTTAATCTCAGGGGCTGCATGTTGGCTTGGGAGTCAGGCATGCATGCACATATACATATAATCACACTCATGCATCCGCACTTGCTCACACACCAGTGATTCTGTTGCAGATTGGACTTTCCTTGCTGCTAGCAAAAGTGAGAGAAGAGAGATCTGTATGAGGATCTCTAAGGGATGGTGTGGAGAGTACAGGCACCAAGAAGGGTAGTGGAATTAGCAGAAAATTCAGCAGTAGACCACCCTAAAAGTATTTTCCAGATCCAGCTGATACATGAAGCTAGACACCTGCTACACAGTCATTAACTATCAGAATGGGACTGCCATCCAGGAGTTTAGCAGAAGGGATTCACTCCTTAAACACAGTTCATATGTACATGCATGCTTATCACTCCATTTTTCTGCATTTGTTTAGTGCAGATTTGATGACTGGTAGCTGAAAGGTCACACTGTCTCCTTTGAAAGCTATTACACTAAAATTGGTTTAGTTAATCTAAAAATATTTTCTATGGCATTATAGCCATTCGACTCTATTTATATATGCAATAATTTTGATGTTGCAGTTATCAGCTGATAAATGCATTTGTGAACTAGAGCTTAGTCTTCACTGTAACAGAAAGTAATTTTTCATGCAGTTTAAAGTATTTCCCACATTTTTGCTGAGCATGGATGAGTGGGTTTCATTTAAATCATATTATCTATCAAACTTAAGAAAAATCTATGCCTATGAAAGATTTTGCATACCTTGTCTTAATCGTCTGTTCAAATGAAGACTGTAGCCAAAACATTAGAAGATTGAGACTTGGAAGATAGCAATAAAAGAACTAGGAAAGTTCACCAAGTATAAGAACATTTTACTGGAGACCAAGTTCAATCTCATCCAGACTATTGTATTTCCAGTCATTTTGCACGGGTATGAAAGTGGACAGTGATGAAAACTAACAGAAAGAAAATTGATGAATTCAAAAGATGGTGCTGGAGGAGAGTTGAATGCCCTAGACTGAGCCAAGTCACCCCAGCATCACCCCAGCAGCCAAGCATCAGATAACAGTGCACATAGGGGCCATGCGCATGCTTGGAAAGGTGTAGTGGCGCCATGTGATGACATCACGAGACACAACTCATTAGCTGCGACTCATCTGAGCTTTCGCATGGCTGGTCAGTGTGCTGCCAAGGATATATACAGTATATATATTTGCTTGGACTGGCTGTGGGTTGTTTTTTCTAAACCAAAACCTCAGTATTCAGGTTTTATTGCAGTGTTGGCACTTTGCAATAAATAAGTAGGTTTTGGGTTGCAGTTTGGGCATTCGGTCTCTAAAAGGTTCACCATCACTGCCTTAGACCAACAGAAAGATGAACATGATCAAATCAAGCCTGAACTTGCCCTAGATGCAAAAATGAAGCTGAGGCTTTTGTACTTTGGTACATCATGAGAAGGCAAGATTCACTGGAAAAGGCAATAATGGTAGGGAAATTTGAAGGCCAAAGGAAAAGGGGAAGACCAACTATGAGATGGTTTGGTTCCATGAATGAAGCCACAGCCTTGAGTTTATAAGAGCAGAGCAGAGCTTTCAACGATAGGACATTCTGGAGGGCTTTCACTCATAGGGTCACTGTATGTCAAAGACAACTTGATGGCATGTAACAACAAATGATTTTACTTTTCTCTTGCAAGAAGATGAGCCAATATTTTCCATAACAGTACTACCATGTACATTTACTCCTGAATGTTGGTTTGTCTTTACACAGAACTGCAAGCTTCTTCTACAGCCACCCCAGAAACCTCTATCCGTATCACCCACCTCTATGAAAGAACAACACCATCACATTGTAAGTGCTCGACACTTTTAGAATTGGAATTATTTTTGTAACTTAATGAAGATTTGGAAAATGGTAGATGTACAAAGAACTATGCCACCCTCAAGTCCTGTTTGTCCTGGATTTTTCATTTATAAAATAAGAAGGATTATAATCTGTATGCTGAATAAAAATAATATAATGTTTTACCTGCTGCTTACAAGACATTCATTTTTTCTCCTCTAAAATGAAAGGAATAATTTTCCTCCTACTGTAGCAGAGTCTTTTCATGATAGAAGGTGTGCCACAGCTCAGAAGTTCATTAACCCAAGGCCCCCTGTTCAATTTCCCTTGATTCTGGCAAGTAAAGCCAGGTCACAGAACACCCACAGAAAGCCCAAACTATTCAGAATAACTAACAAAGAAGTCAGGTGGGGGGCTACTAAGAAGGCCTTTTCTGTTGTGGTACCCCAGCTATGGAATTAACTTCCCAGAGCAACTCCTTTGTACTCATTCCAACCCCAGGTGAAGACCTGACTTTCCCAGAAATTTTTGTTTCAGTCTGTTTTAAATCACGTACTGTAATTTTAAATCACATTTTAAATCCTTGTACTGCTGCTAGGTCTTAGGTTTTGCTACTATTCTATCCTGTGTTTTAAAAATTAAAATTCGCATGCTGTATTTTATGCTTGAATTGTAATTGCCCATAAATCTTCAGCTATTGGGTGGTATATAAATGTAATCTCTTCCATATACTTTATGAAAAGATGACTGATGCTGAACAAACAAAAAAACAACAGAAAAGGAAAGCCAAAGGAGAGCCAATCCGCCTACTCGAGGTGTAATGAATTTTGGCTCCCAGATTAGACTACACTTGTTTAGCTAAGCCAAATGGCTTCTTCAGGTCTGGGACTGAAAGCCCAAGGAACCTGTGTGTGCCTGGAGGTTAAGTTATAAGTGTGCATAATTTGTAACTTCAAATGTGCAAATTGGATATGCATGAAAGATCAGGCAGGGCATTTAACTTCAAAGTTCCATGTTTTTCGGTGCACCAGTGCACCTGAGTGCCTTAAGTCAAATGTTTTTAAAACCTAGAATATAATCCAGTATGACAAAAGTTAGTGTGGCCTAGCAGTTAGAGTGCTGGACTGGTATTTGGGAAATCTAGCTTCTAGTTCCAACTCAGCCATAAAGTGTATTGAGTGACTTTTGGGTTTTAAGGTAAAATAGAGGGCAGGAGAATCTGCTAAGCTGCATTTGGTTCTTGCAAAAGGGAGAACGATGGGCTATATTGGTAGTGGCGCTGATGTGGTTGTTTTTGGTTTGATTGTTAGCCATGCTGGGGACTTTTCAAAGTGGTTCTGTATGGTGCAAATGTAACAAGTATTACAGTGCTATCAGTAAACAAGAACAACAACAGAATACTTGGAACAAATGAGTATAACGGATCATGTGGTTTGTTTCCTCATTAAGCAAATCAGTCAACAAAAGGGGTGACTAAAGTGACCACACTGACTGTTCATGATAATTCACCTACTGGAATGAGTTCGTTTAATGATACTGGACTTGGTAAGTCATTGCTTTTCTTCGACTCTTCCTTCATTTAGCTACTTTATTTTTGGTCCTGACCTAGAAGTCTTTTTCATATACTTTCTGAAAAGATGGCTGATGCTTCTGGATTTAGCCAACATTAGGGGGGTGAGGGTGAGGGACAGGATTCACATAATTAGGTTCCCCCAGAAAACCTTCATGGTTAACACTGTTGAATCAAACAACACTTTCTATGCATACTCCCAGTAGGTGGAGTGGGGAGGAATAGATTGTGCCTGGGCCTGTCTGTAATGAGCCCCAGTGTCTGTGTCTTCAGGGTTAGAAATCAGAGCCTGTTTATGTATAGCTGCTCATGCTGAGCTCTTGACCCAACACACAATCAAGGTCCCTAGTCAGGAACTATGCTTATGTGAACCTATATATGCACCCACCTGTGCATGCATTTTACCAGCTAGTAATCATCACTAGTTTGCATATGTCTATGTGTATTCCATGATGACTTTTATATCCATTGGGTAGTCATGGGAAACTAAGGGCACAATCCCATACCTAACCAGGAAGAAGTTCTCCCACACCCACTTGCCAGGCACCCAGGCTGGCTGGGAATTTTGGGAGCTGGACTCATGCCTAGGATTGTGCCATAGACCTGCCTATATTATATATTTCTCTGGGACCAATCTGAAGATTCCTACATGGGCAGAAATTAGGAAATACAAGGAAATTAGTGAACCTCCAGCCAAAAGCAGAGGTGAGCAAGATGAGCCATCAAAGGGAACAGCAGGGAAAGGTGAGCTTGAAAAACTGCCTCCAGAAAAGCTTCTACTGATTAGATCTGTGCTCTGTATGCTGTCTGCCCTTGAAGGCTGAAGCTACTCAGGATGTGGCTACCCATATCCTGAGTATGGTTAGTTGCCGGGAGCTCAGCATTGCTTTCCATTCCCTAGTTGGTGCGCTGCAAGAGGCTGTTTTTGAAGTATGAAGCTCCAGACACCTCTGCAGCAGCTCATAAGAATTTGTGCTTCCTGATGTCCTTTCAAATGCAGCATAGATTGGCATATGGCTCGATATGCAACTAGGATGAGGTCACACCCTAATTGTCCACGCAAATAGAGCTGCTCTTTCCTTGGGTATAGATTTATTCTGAGAAATGCACTGTGTGATTCAATCAAGCAGAGATCTTGTTGGCAAGCGCCCAATTCCATCATCATTGCAATGTTTTTCCAGCTGTTGTGAACAGGAACTGCTGTCTGCTCCAATCACCTACTTCTCACAATTTGCTTCTCCCTGTCTGCCTACCCAGGACACTTTGCATATATGCAAAATATTGTCTGAAGTGCCTGAAGCCCCTGTTGTTCCATCAATTTGAAGAGAACTGTTTTGAAGATGCTTTATTGTTCTATGCATCGTGATAACTGGAGATCTTTGTGTTTTCCTCAGGTACTGAAACTAATCCAAAACATATTCAGTTCCCTTGGCCAGCGATTGTAGCAGCGCTGCTTTTCTTTTGCACATTATTAATCATTATGGGAGTCAGAAAATGGTGTCAATATCAAAAGGAAATGTAAGTACATGTCCCTCACAGCATTTTACATGCTGGCTGCCAAAGCGAGTACTCTGGTAGCACCAGTCATGTTGTGCCAAGTGGAAACAGCAGCTTCTGAGTACAACTCAGGGGACGAGAACAACCGGAAGCTAATGTGTTTTGAGTTGTGTTCGGGTGCTCACCTAAATCCATGAGGCCTTCAAGTATGTAGACGGTTGGACTCTGCATGCTGGCTCTGCATCCCCAGGCTTTCTCTCTCCAGTTCAACCTTGCCATGCTGAAGCCGGAAGGTCTCATGTTTGCCTGAATGTGAATAGGACTGCTCACATGATTGTGGACGTTACCTTACCAGGGTTTTCAGCCAGGGAGGCAGTCTGAGCACCAACATCAGAACAAGTTTCTGAGGTCAGACTTAGGGCTGCAGATTCTTCAGTTGCCATTCTTCTCTGTCTGACAGCCAAGAATTGCACCCATCACCAAGCAACATGCTAAACAATTAGCTGCTTTCATGCACCCATGACTAAACTTTGGTGACCTATTGGAGTCAATGGAGTCGTGCTTACATAACTGAGGAAACTGCCTCTTGTTTATCATTCAAGTACATGGTTTTTGAAGAAAGAAAGCATAATTGGTAGAAATCTTGAGTAATATCTGAAAAAGATTGTGCAAATTATTATTAGCAAAATAATAGGTGCAGAAGCAGCTCTTTTTTTTTCTACCCTTTTACCAAAGGGTGCGGTGTGCCATAAATTGTCTTTCTTGTAATATAAGTTACTGGCAATCTGGACCTATTTATAAAATGAATTATCGTGTAGAATGATGACTTGCTTTTTAATTTGGTCTATCTTTTTCACTGTATCATAATGTCCATTTTATTTCCTGCTTTTTTAAAAATACTGTTTTTATTTTAGCATGAACAGACCACCCTCTTTCAAGCCACCTCCACCTCCAGCTAAGTACATCTCTGTGCAAGATTCCGACAGAATTCTACCATCCTACAGTGAATTAGAAAGCCTGTAATGAGCCTGGAGTGTTCAGTGACTCTGCTCCATACAGAAACTGCATGACTTTTACAAGGGATTGCAAGAGGTCAAAGGCAGTAGTTTACACTTTTAGCCTTGCATTGAGCTAGTAGCATGAACTTCTTAAGGGCAACTTCCCTAGGACAATTTTTCCTCCACAGTTAGTTGTCATTGTGAAATTAGACATAATTGTAAGTTACAAGTGCTCAGCCTGAGTTGTGTCATCAGTAAGGAATGAACGGTGCTCATCTATCATAAACATGAAACCCTTTGTCTCTTAGATGGTATGATGAGGTGTATGATGTTCGCAGTTACTCTAAGAATATATTTTCCTACCTTAACCCTAGCATTATTCCTATATGACCAATTTCTCTATTTTCAAGGATGTCTAAATCAAAGTGTTTGATGATAAATGTTATTCCAGCAAAGCTCTACGAAAAGATGGGTGTACTTGTGGTCCCTGTTTCACCAGCTGCTGTTGGGTCCATTTTTTCACAGCCGTGATCTGGTTCTTCCACCTCACATGCAGAATCTCATCATAGATTCAACCTTCTCTGGCCAGAAAAAAAGGTGCAATAAGACATGAGCAGAGTGAAATGACTCCTGGAATGGTGACTGGTGTGCAACAAAAAGTAGAGGGAGACAAGGCCTACACATGTTATCCTCATCAATTCTAATTTATCTGCATTCAGTAAGTAGGGGTGGAGGAGGACTTCATCCAAAGGCTCAGAAATACAGTGACAATATACTAGACAAACCCTGAAATCAGAATACATTGCCAAATTGTTTGCATATCTCCTTATGTCTAAGCTTTCTTGGGATGCTGAAATGATACTTTAACAAAACGAAGTAGGTAATGATGGATGTCTATTTTCCTCAAGCCACTATTTGCCACATGGTGTGAAAAATATAAAATGATACTTTTAACTTTCTGGAGGGAATGCATCTTTGGCTATTGTAGCAAAAACAATACAGAGTTTTGTTGCGCCTTAAAGTCTAAGAAGTTTATTATGGCTTAAGTTTAGATGAGCTAAGTTCTTCTTAGTTGGGAAATTTTTATTACTCTTTCATATACTTTTAATTTATTGTCTTGTGCTGTTTTAATAGTATTTATTTTATACTTCTACTTCATTTTTTATAAACTGCCTTGAGTATAATTTGAAAGGTGGTCCAGAATATTAGAAGGAAAAAAATATAGTTGTGTAGTGACCTGTTACCACCAGAAGGTGGCTCTTTAGTTTAAAATATTCTCTTGCTAGGAAATTGTTTCATATATTATATATAGCCATAACCCAGAGGATAAACTGCTAAATTCCTGATATACATTTTTAATGATCTATGTAAACAGAACTATGTGTGTTGAGTATCCAAACTGGGCTTATTCTCTTTAAAGGTTTTTTTTAATATTCATATGTATTTAGACCAAACATGAGCAATATCCACACCTTTTCTGAAGTTAGAATACAAATAAAACTATTGTCAAATGTTTTCCAAATATGATTGATGAACCTCATGTTGTTGAATCTAGAGTGATTTTTTTTTTACAAAAGAATACAAAATGGGAATGGTTTTATTCTTACCCCTAACAGATGTTCATGTACATTTCCATACAGATTAAAAAGCAAAAAGAAACTGAGTTAGGAGGCCTATAAATGGTAGGTGGATTATTTGATTTCCTTTGGGAAATTTGAAATAACATGACTCAAAAGGTTCAGCAATTCATCTTCAAGGAAATATAGAATTAAACTGAATTGTGTAGCTAACTGCCAGATTCATTTCATCATATAACATCATTATGTTTACATAATGCAGTATGTATGAAGGATCAAGCTCATATTATTAATATGTTCAAACAGTTTTTTGTTTGTTTATTTACTACATGCTTTTCTATCCTGTCCTTTCACTAGTCTCAGGATGGTAATGCAATAATAAGGCACAGTATCAGCATCAACAAATAAAACCCATTTTAAAGCAGTATTAGATCTTAAAATATTGGGAAAATGAACAGGTTTTGGCCTGGCACCAAAACAAATAAAGTGTTCACTTTATTTATAAAGGTACACTGCGCTGGGGGGCATGCTCCATAACTGGGGAGTCACCACAGAGAAGGCTCTTTGCTGGGTAGCCACTCTCCAGATCTCCTTCAAAGAGGGCTCCTGAAGAAGGACCTCTGACCCAGATCTTAGGGGACAGGCAGGTATATATGGAAGGAGACACTCCTTCAGATGCCCAGGTCCTAAGCCATTTAGGGCATTATACGTCATCATCAACACCATACATTGGGCCCGAATTTTAATTGGTAGCCAACCCAGGTGGTAAAGGACTGGCGTTATATGTGCATATCTACCAGTTCCTGTTAAGATCGTGGCAGCAATATTCTGCACCAACTGAAGTATCTGAACCATCTTCAAGGGCAGCCCCACGTAAAGTGCATTACAATAGTCCAATCAGGAGGTTATCAGAATATGGGTCACTGTCGCTCAGGTCTGCTCATCCAACTAAGGGTGTAGTACAATACAAAACATTGTGCCTCCTATCGAGCGTGCAAATGATGCACATGGTGTCCACTTATGCATAGCAAAAAACACAACAAATGCATTACCAAAAATTACTTGCATAAAAATGGAGAGAGATCCAAATTTAGACGTCATTACTAGGAGTTCAACAGAAAAATAGTATATCTCAGCATAATGTAGAATACTATGACCTGTGTATTTACCTGCTCAGCCTACTACCCAGGTGTCCACTCCTGATGGGTGTCTTCAAGTACATGCTGACTTTCTCTTTCAATGGTTCTTCATCTTTCAACCAAACCTGGGCAACCCTCCAAATAAAGGATGTGTTTTTTGTTTTTCTCCTGGGATTGGAAATCATTTGTCACTACAATGAAACATTTTCAATGTTTCCATTACAGAAACTCACTAGAGAAGGACCGTAGAATTAAAATACCAGCTTGATCTTCAACAGGGGTATATTTTCCCCTGATGATTAAATACAGATTAGTCTTTCCTTGCATGGCTCCCAAAGGGTTTGTTAAGAAACTCTACAGTCAGTTCTACACAATTCAACCAAAAGCATCAGCTGTACAGCTTATTTCTACTCTGTGTTCTTCTATTCAAGGTCAGGCAGAAATATTATGTTTGCAGTAGATCCTTAAGTTCCCATTTCAGGAGAAGTTGAAGTCTTTGATAATGCTCCCAAAAAGTCCAAAATGCTTGGAATTAAGTCCTTCTTTTACATCATGGATACAATCTGGGTTGTATAGAGTCCTCTTTAGAAGATGCTAAGATATATAAGAGTCTGACTTCCTGTGTTTGAATGGGAACAACTTCCCTTCCTTCATCTGGAAGCACTGTGTGCAGGGCATATCAAAGTACCTATCAAAAAAATAAGGCTACTTGGGAAGGGAAACTGCTCAGATGTTAAACTCTCTTGGATTAAATGTCTCACCAAGCCCTCTTGCATTCTGACCAACATTTCTTCTTTGGGTTTTGCAAAATGCGTTGTGCAGAAGCCCTGATTTTCAAACTGCATAGTTATGGATTGGCTGTGGGATTAATGGATCCAGGCACCTGCTGCTCCTGCTCCAGGCATCTCGGCTGTCCTCTGATTGACCTCAGTGGCGCTAAAACCAAAGTGTCACAGAGGAGAAGCATAGCCAGTAAATAGGGCTGACCCGCACTCTTGTGGTTCCACAGATTCTAGTGGCAAAGTTGTATGTAAGCATTTGTTGTATTTCACGGTGCAGTGTATTTAGGGTCGCAACAGGGGTGAGTGTTAAGTGTAAAAAATGTATATCTCTCCCTTGCCTGAACGTTCCATCCATTTATGTGAATGTGTCATGCTGAAAGAACCTGTACAACTATTTCACTAAGACTAATGGTGCCAATTTAGCTACAGTTAATCGTGGCTAAAGCCTAAACTGCACATCGCATATACGTTTAGGGTGGTCATGTGTCCTACTTTGCAGGGGATGGTGCTCTGTTTCAAGGACTGTTGAAGGACAGTCCTCTATCAGAAAACATTCTTTACTTGAAAAGATGCCCAGTCCAAGTCTGTTTCAAAGATAAAGACCCACAAGAAGGGATGCAGCACAGTGGTGGTCCTGAACTTGCCCGTCAGCAGTTAGTGACTGGACAACAACTGAATGAAGAGGCACAGGCAGTCACCTGGTCACAGTCTTCTCTACTATGTGATGTGTTGTGTATTGTGGTTCTGTTAAAGTATGGTAAGTGTTGCTTAAATGCAAATAAAACATAAGAAGAGTCATGCTGGTTCAGGCTACAAATCCATCTAATCCAGCATTCTGTTCACACAGTGGCCCACCAGCTGCAACTGATATACCCAGATGTTTTGCCTTTGATACTGGAGGTAGCTTATGGCCACCAGGATTAGGAGTCATTCATAGCCTTCTCTTACATAAATTTGTCCAAGCCCATTTTAAAGCCATCCAAATCAGAGGCTATCACTACATCTCATGGAAATGAATTCTGCACTTTAGCTTTGTCCTGTGTGAAAAAGCACTTCCCTCTATCTGTCCTGAATCTCATACCAATCATATTCATTAATACGTATACACATACATACACCTCACCACATTTGAACACATTTTGGAGTGGTGAACAATAAAAAATGAACAGATAAAAAGAGTAGAATAGCATATTAATTAAAAATGGCAACATAACAACAGAATACCAATACAAGACATGGCTGGTCATTTAAGGAAGGCATCTTGAAATAATGGTGTTCTCAGAAGGCATTGCAAGCAGCACAGTGTTGGTGTCTGCTTGTCGTCTGGAGGGAGCTGCTGAAAACAATCAGACTATAGGATTATTCGGGACCACTAGGAGCATATCATCTGATGACCTCAGTCTCCAGGTAGGTTGATAAGGGAGAAGGTGCTTTCTCAGGTATCCTGGTCCCAAGTGGTTTAGGACTTTTACACTAGTACCAAGATCTTAAGCCTGCCCCAGTAGTACGCAGGGAGCCAGTGCAGTTCCCTCAGTAAAGGAGTTGTGTGTTGCAAAGCGACAACTCCTGACAACTGTCAAGTTGCTTCATTCTATAGTAGCTCCAGCTTCTGTACAACCTCAAGGGCAACCCAACACAGAGCATACTGCAATAATCCTGCATCTCTGTGGCCAAGCTATCCCTGTCCAGAAGAGGCCATATCAGGAGAATCAGATGAAGCTGGTGAAGGCACCATGGTCATTTGAACATCCAGCAACAGTAATGGACCCAGGAGTACCCACAGATTACAGACTTGACCTTTCAAGGGAGTGCAGCCCCTTCCAAAACAGGAAATGTCAATCTCTGTCAGTAGACTTGGAACCATTCAAGATCTTCCTTCTTGGCAGAAGTCCAATTCATGTGCATGAGATGACCTGGTTTCCAATATTTAAAGAGAAGAAGTGAGGGAGAGAATTCTTTTCCTTTCTACTTTCTCTGCTTTCTACATGATTTGTACTTCTCTGCAATGTCTCCTTTTATTTGTCTCTTTTTCTGAGCAAGTATTTTGTCTTTCTTTTTGGTTATGCACATCCTCTTTCAGTGCAATCAAATGGCCACCCTAAAACAAGTATTAGTAGCCTATCAACACTTTGAGAAATAACTGAGAAACAGAAGTAACTAAGCGATGGTCCATTTACCCTTACCCCCGCTGATTATTTCCCTGATTTTATTTGCCCTCTGGGTGAATTCTTAATTTTCTACAACTTACTATCAGGACCAATTGCACATATTCACTAATGTGCAGTGTGTGGTTGGCCGATGTCCCTTTGGAAGCAACAGTAAAACTCATTATGAACTCAATTTAATCCCACTTATTTCAGTGGTGAGGAAGTGGTCAAACATTTGTTGGGATTTTTCTTGAACCTAAACAGCTGTACTCAGATTTGCTGCCCACATACCTGATTATACAGGGTCATTGTAACTGTTCCACATTTAATATAGTTTGTATTACCACATTGGTGTCACAGTAAAACAAGTTTCAGTTAAAAAGATATGGATGCCTTAAGCTAAATTGTCCATCAGCTTTTTTTATAATAACACAATATAGCTTGCTATAGAAATGGTATTTGTTATCCTGCTCAATCCCAGCTCCAGTTCACAGAATCACAGAACAATAGAGTCAGAAGGGTCTAATATGGCCATTGAGTCCAATTCACTGCTTCATGCAGGACTCCAAGTTAAAGCAGCTCTGAAAGATGGCTGTCCAGCTGCATCTTGAATGCCTCTAGTGTGGGAGAGCCCACAACCTCCCTGGGTAATGTGTTCCATTGTTGCATCATTCTAACAGCCAGGAAGTTTTCCCCAAAGTTCAGTCTGAACCTGGATTCCTGTAACTTGAGCTCATTATTCTGTGTCCTGTACTCTGGGATGATGGAGAAGAAATCTTGGCTCTCCTTGGGGTGACAAACTTTCAAGTACTTGAACAGTTCTATGATAGCTCCCCTCAGTCTTCTCAAGGCTAAACATGCTCAGTCCTTTCAGTCTATTCCCATAGGGCTTTGCTTCCAGTGCA